GAAAGAGAGAACAGGATGGTTTAGTCGAAACTGATTAGTCTACCATTCAGTCGACCCCCTTATGTTTATTAGGTTCTAATTACACTTACAAAGACTAAACTGCCCTCACTTAAGTGTGGGGCAGAGTACTCTAATAAAACAGCCACATACGCAAAGTACTTAACTAACATGAGATTACTAAACTATCCCTATTCAGCTCACTCTAACAGGTTTTTTAGGTCCTCTATAGGGATCAGACAAGGAGGTCCTTTATCCCAAATGCCGTTTATGGCAGAAGTTTTTAGCAAATTGTTAAGAAGGGCTGATGAGGGTGATATTTTTAGAGGCTTCAGGGTGGGGAAGTTGAATCAAGTGGTTTCTCACCTGCAGTTTGCTGATGACACTTTGCTTTTGGGGGAGTTTAGAGGGATTCAAGATGTGAGAGCCCTTAGGAGAATTTTGGAGATAGTGGAAAGAGTACCAGGGTTGAGAGTCAACTTGGCAAAGTGCAATTTGGTCGGGTGCAAGATGGAGGATTTTGAATTGGAGTGTGCTAAAATTTTGGGATATGCAATTGGGCAGTGATCAATGAAGTATCTTGGCCTTCTTTACTGGGCAATCCTAGGGATGCTTCCTTTTGGGAAACAATAGTTGAGAGGTTTATAAGAAAGTTAGAAAATTGGAAAAGGAATTACCTCTCATTAGGTGGGAGATTAACTTCGATTAAATCAACTTTATCTGACCTGCCTATATTTTTCTTGTCAGTCTTTAAAGCTTCCATGAAAGTAGCATTAAAAATTGAAAAAAAAAGGAATTCTTTGGGATTTTGTAAGTGAGAGGAGGGACCATCTCTTGACTTGGGAGAAGGTGTGCAGGTTAAAGGAGGAGGGAAGCCTAAGGCATAGGGAGGTGAAAGATAATAACTTGCATCTTGGCAAGTGGTTATGGAGGTTTCCTAATAAACCTGAGGCTTTGGGGCATTTAGTTATTAAAAGCATCCATGCACTTCATCTTAATGGATGGGATTCGGGTATTGCTTAAAATTCCACCTTCTTGCAACATGTAAGGTATGATGCTATCTCTGACACTATGGTGGAGTTTTGGGAAGACTTGTGGTGGGGAAACTCCAACTTCTGTCAAGCCTTTCCATGGAAGAGGGTGGGTCTGGGATTTGGGTTAGGGCTGTGAGAGCAAGAAGTGGATGAGTTGACTTCTTTGCTTGAAATTCTCCAACTCCATGTAAGCCTTAACCTTTTAGGGGTGAATGGGAGAGTGTGGGAACCTAAATACTGTTGGGCTGTTCTCTTGTGCTTCTTTCTTCCAAACTTTGCTTCAACCTATAAATTTGATTCCTTTTCCTGTAAAAAGAAGTGTGGGGCAGTCCTATTCCTCCTAAAGTGAGGGGGTATTTTGTTGGAAAGCAGCCATTCAAATTATTAGCACCTGTGAGAGGCTTCAACAGAAATGGAAAAATTGGTGTCTCTCCCCTCATGTTTGTATCCTCTGTATGAGAGAAGGGGATTCCACTAATAATCTTTTACTGCCTTGTACCTTTGCTTCTCAGTTATGGGAGTACCTTTTCTCTCTAGTGGGTGTCTCTGGGTGCCTCCTACAGACATCATTGAGTTATTCAGCACAACCTCACTGAGATGTCACACAAAATGACACAAAATTCTGTGGCTGTTGGGGGCTGTGCTTTGCAGTCGGTGGAATGAAAGGAACTCATGAATTTTTGAGCAGAAGGCAAGAGGGGTGGAAGATTTAATTGAGCTAAGGTCAGAGTTGCCCATTGGGCTCTGGTAACCAAAGAATTCAAAGGTGTTTCCTAAATGATCTATTAAGGGGCTGGAAAGCTGTAGCTGATTTTCAGGAGAGGGCTCCCAGGAGGGTGGTCAGTTGGTGTACACCAGAAGTCAAGAAGCTTAAGTTAAATTTTGACTGCTGTTGCCTTGGAAATCCAGGAAGTTCAGGTATTGGGGGTGTTGTTAGGGACCATGATAGAAACATTTTCAGTTTCTCTGGACCAGAGCCAGAGGGCTATGGCAACTCCTTACGGGCTGTGTGAAAGCTCTATTACAGGGTTTGGAGTCGTTAAAGCTAAAAGATTATAAAAATGTGGTGGAAGGTGACTGTCAAATTCTTTTTTGCTTGTTGAAGAAGCAGGACTTGATCCCGTGGAAGTTTAGGCATTTGGTAAGACAGGCACAGCTCTTAGGTTCCTTATTGAATGTCTCATTCAATTGGGTGCCTAGAAGTGCTAATGCTTTGGCTGATTCTCTAGCTAAGTCTGGTGTTGAGAAACATCACTTGGATTGGGGCAGTCCAGGACCGGGTGGTATCTTTGTAGTGTTGTAAATTTGTGTTCTTGTATTTCTGTTGCTTGGTTATGGGCTTCTTGTGGGAAGCCCTTGTTTTGTTCCCTTGCCTGCTTTCTGTTTGCAGGGTTTCTTTTCAATGAAAGTTATGTTGATTTTCAATATATATATTTTTTAAATTCTTTTAGCACAAATATCTGATTTTTTTTTTCTTTCCAATTAGGATCAAAAGGCACATGAAGCAATTCTGAAAGCACTAAACCTTCAATGGTTTGTATTACAAGCTCTGTAGTCAGTTCTCTTTGTTTTTCATCTTTTGATTTGGGGTTATATTCTACTTGTCTCTTTCCTGTGACATCTACATGTAGTTGTTTGTGTAGCATATTGACATCACATGTCTCATATGCAGTGTTGCCAGGAAGCCTGCTTTGGAGGAATGGACTGCTAGAGCTGAACTCTGTGACATGTTGCATGAGCCTGTATGTTACAGAACTAGCTGATACTTGAGTGACATTTATACTCTGTTTGCACTGACACATCATACCATGTAATTTTACAGGTCAGAATTGCCATGGTTGGAAAATATACTGGCCTTTCAGATTCTTACCTATCTGTATTGAAGGTGAACTCACCTGCTACTAAGATCTCATTAGCCATCCCATCTTTTTCACTCTAATTTTATCTGAAGACCATGCAAATCTTCTTTTTTCTTGTCAAGAATCCTCTATTGGGTAATTAGATCTCTGGAAACTCAATTCAGTTGTCGTGAGTCCCGGAGATTCTGAGAAATTCGATGTGTTGCATTAGAATTTGAGCAAGTTTCAAGTTAAGTAAGCAGGATTTAGAGCACCTTGTGATCATCATCACCATTTAAGCCTTGTCCCCTCCAGTGTTTTAAAAGGCAGTTGAGGCATATGCCTGGAGGTGAGACACACTCAAAAATGCTTTGATTTCTCATACTCTGGAGGCATGTATTCCTTTGAGGCATACACCTCTGGTACACCTCAAGAAGAAGAAGAAAGAATTACACGTTACGGCTTACCACTACTACTCTTGAGGAGGCTTATGTCTCCTTGAAATATTTTGTAGTTTGGTATTGTAGCCTCTGTAGATGGTCCCACAAGTCGCTTGATTTGATAATGGCAGGGGTGATCCATGTTGCAATGTTTTTATCTAGATACATATTTGGTGCAGGATTTATACAAATTTGCTCCCCCTACCCTCATATGCACTTTATGTATAAATAAAGTGCATCTACATTCTTCATACATATGTGCATATGTATTTATATGTAATGGAAGCAGGTATCTGCTAGTATCTAATTTACCATGTTCTTTTCTTATTCAGGCTCTTTTGCATGCTTCTATTGCTTGCCACAGAAAATTAGTAGTGGAATGGGTTGCAGCTACTGACCTTGAAGATGCAGCTGCAAGAGAGGTTGCTATTAGTCTTGATTTTAGCATGCTATGTTTGTATAATCCCATGTGTTCAGTTTATCATTTGATGACATTTTATGCTTGCAGACCCCTGATGCTTACAAAGCTGCATGGGATCTGTTGAAGGTAGGCTACACTTCCAGATTATTATATTAGAATAATTTGGAGTAAAACTGTGTTTAGATTGGGTTTTCTTCCCTATGCCTCCTATGATTTGTTTCTCAGTTATCTGAACAGGCTTTGGCTTCAGGGTGCAGATGGTGTTCTAGTTCCAGGGGGGTTTGGTGATCGAGGGGTACAAGGAAAAATTCTTGCAGCAAAGTATGCCCGGGAAAACAAAGTTCCATTCCTTGGCATTTGTCTAGGGATGCAAATTGCTGTCATTGAATTTGCACGATCTGTTCTTGGTCTGCAAGATGCAAACAGCACTGAGTTTGATCCTGAAACTACAAATCCTTGTGTAATATTTATGCCAGAGGTATACATTTTTCATTTCCATACATTTGATTCCATACTAAGGCCTATTTTAAAATAATGCCAAAGGCTAAGTCTGCACCCAGTCTATTCCTCCCAAGACCACAGATAGGTGGGACCAATATTGGGTAGTGGTCTTTTTGCTTGTTTCTACTAGTTGAGCAATTCGGTTATTTGTGTGCAGGGTTCAAAAACTCACATGGGGGGCACCATGCGTCTTGGTTCAAGGAGGACATACTTCCATGTTATTGATTGTAAATCTGCAAAGTTGTATGTATTAAGAATACATCCCCAATAAAAACAATCTAAACCAATGCTTTATAACTTGAAGGATTCAGAATTGATGGTTTACTAACATTCGTCTTATCTTGCTTTGTGTTAGATATGGCAATGTAAGCATCATTGATGAGCGGCATCGGCATAGATATGAGGTATGATGTATTAACAAGCATATGCCCCATCCGGTAACTTGCCCATTTGTACTTATAGACATGGCTTACTGTGCTCATTCATTTCACATGATGATTTTCTGATCAGTAAGAACTGACAGCTGGGGAAAATATTTTGGATTTCTGTAGGTCAATCCTGATATGGTAGAGCAACTCGAAAATGCTGGTCTCTTATTTGTTGGCAAAGATGAAACTGGTCAGCGCATGGAGGTATTTAGAGATGGAACTTTCATCCTATATATATTAATGTATTGTAGAAAAAAACTTAGTAGAAAATTCAGAACTGTAATCTGATTTGATAACAGAAATACAAGAAAGAAAGAAAAGAGTTTCTTGCATATAAGAGAAGGGAAGAAAGCGAAGAAGAGATGGGAGAAGCCAATAATTGATTTGGCCACCCCACTCAATAACTTATATACTTATTAAATAAAAGAGAATACAATGATCAAATCAATATGCCCTTAATAGGGCTGCTGCTGCTAATAAGTAATAACATAAAGAGTAAACATAAACTTTTGGGCCTTGGGCCCAATAACACTAACCAATAACATAAAATAAAAGGAAACAAAAAAACTGTGTGAATCTCAACTTGCATAGGTCATGTTCTAGCTTATTTTTTGGAACTCCCTTGCTGGGTACATTAGCAAGTCGTAAGCTAGATGAAACATATGCCAGACAAACTTCCCTAGGAATCACCCTTTTTTCTTATGAAATGCCTGTCCACTTCTATATGCTTTTTTCCTATCATGTTTAACTGGGTTATGGGTAGTGTTAATTGCTATTTGATTATCGTGGTACAATATCATAGGTTCTTCTACATCAACTCCAAGCTCTCCTAATAAGGACCAAACCTGGGAATCTTTGAGACACCATGTTCCATATCTCTATACTCTGCTTCTGCACTTGATCTGGCTATAACTAGTTGCTTTTTACACTTCCATGAAATCAAATTACCTCCAACAAGAGTGCAAAATCCTGATGTAGATCTCCTGTTACGTAGGCACCTTGCCGAATTTGCTTGTGTAAGCTTCCATTTTCAAGTGTCCATGGTTAGCAAACAATATCTCTCTGCATGGGTGTCTTTTCAAATAGACAAGTATCCAATCAATGGCTTCCCAGAGATAAGCTTGAGGGGCATGCATGTATTGGCTCATAATACTAACTGCGTAGGAGATATCTGGTTGTGGCACAAGTATAACAGTCGTTCCACCGTCCACCAATTTTTGATACCACCAAAGATCCTTTAGACTTCAGTAGCTCACTATCTAAAGCATTGATTCTGTGATTCTGGTCAATGAGTGTATCAACTGGTTTAACCCCAAGTTTTCCTATCTCTTGTAGTAGGTCCAACACCTACTTTCCTTTGGAAATGAAGATCCTATATTTGAATCTTGCCACTTTAATACCCAGAAAATACCTTAGCTCTCCAAGGTCCTTAATCTCAAACTCTTGGTGTAGGTTCCTCTTTAAGGCATCAATCTCAGGTCATTCCTTGTGACTACAATGTCATCCACATATACTATTGGCACTAACACCAAAGATTCCTTTTTCACAAAAAAATAAATGATCCGATTGGGTTTGAGTGTATCCAAAACCGATTTTCTGGTCACCGAAGACCAGAAAGCTCTTTGTTTAAAGCTTCCCAAAATTCAGTGTTTTCAGTCCATTTGGGTCTTTCCACGTATGCGTCTTCTTATCTTTCCAGCTTTTGGTTATCAAATGGAAAAAGACCAATTTTTGGTCTTTCAAGCTTGTCGAAGCGCAGAAGACTGCACGGAAAGACTTATTAAATAAAAGAGAATACAATAACCCATATGCCCTTAATAGGGCTGCTGTTGCTAATAACATAAAAAAAAAACATAAACTGTTGGGCCTTGGGCCCAATAACACTAAATAAAAGGAAACAAAAAAACTGCTGAAGCTCAACAAACTTTATAATAAACGATGCATTAATTATAATACTGACTTCATGCTTGTATACAGATTGTTGAATTGCCTAGTCATCCATACTTTGTTGGAGTTCAATTCCATCCTGAATTCAAGTCAAGACCAGGAAAACCTTCTGCACTGTTTTTAGGTATTTTTCTTTCTCTCATCTCAAAATGCAATTTTTAACAAAGAAATGATGAGAATGTGCTGTTCTGTGATCCTATGTATAAAGACAAGAGCCAAATGGTATGGCTTCGCTATTCATCAATAAAAAAGAAAAGGTATGGCTTTGCTACTTTTAGAAAAGAAACCTCCAAATGGACCATGTAATTTATGAGTTCGAATATGCTGACCACAACACATTGCCGGCCACACTCATCCAGCCGCGCATTGAGAATACCGGTGATCAGAACACAACCGATGTTCCATATGTATGGCTGGGTGAACGTGGTCGGCAGATCCAGACTTGTAATATACAACACAATCAATGTTCCATGATTGTATTACTTGACAAAGACCTGTTACTTAAGCTGCATTTGGTAAGAGTGCAAACACTGAACCAAAGTGAATTTGTACTGTGGTTCAGTTTTGCAGGCATTGGGCAAAAATATATTTGTGTACTGAAAATGACAGCAATTATGAATTCCAAGACATGTTTGCATTCAGAATGGGAGTAAAATGGATGCCAACTTTGCACTCATAGCTAGTCAATGTAAAGGTGGATTCCAGTCTTGGAATTTGTGTTTGTACCCATCCCAACAGCAACCATTTGGTAAGAATACAAAATTTATCAGTGCAAAACTAAATCAACTCGCATTTTCATGAACCATACATGTATTTCCATCAAACGTGTTTTTATTTGCACTCTTACCAAACACAGCCTCAGCCCATTTCATCAAATTGTGCTGATTATATGAAATGGATCAAGGTATTCTAGTTACGAGGCACTATGAGTTATCTATTTATAAGTGTTTTCATGACATTTCTGTGAAGCATTCATGTACTGTTTGGCTAAAGCTTGAACAGATTTTCTTTCACTCAGAAGCCATCACGGATCCACATCTGTACAGTGATATTTCCATCTTATAGGGCATACTGCAGACAGCTAAACTATCTCAACCCCAGGATACACATACTTGGGCCTTGTTACCTTACATGCTTCAATGCAGGCCCTGAGGTGCCTAAACTCGGTTGCCCAGGCAGCTCACTTCCTACTGAGCATTTTACCGTTCTAGATAGAATTCATATGCTTTCTAGTCACGAAATTTAAAAGAATCTAAATCTAACATTCTGCATCATATTCTGTTTGCCAATCTAGATTCCTGCTTATTTTTGTTATAGTTTATTCTTGTAGATTACTTTCAAGTTCAGCTTTGTACTGCTCTGATAATGTTAAATATTGATGCCACTATGAAATGTTACAGGGCTTCTATCAGCAGCCAGTGGCCAGTTGGAAGATATCATGCAAAATCCATTTCGTTTTTACAAGGCAGTAACAACGAATGGAATAAGCAATGGACAACCAACGGTGAAAATTCATCAAAATGGGTATGCAAATAAGACTCCGAATGGGTCATTAAATGGTGTGCACACCAATGGTAATGGTGTGCATTTCTAGACGAAGTTGGTAATGGTACCTTGGGTGCAGGGTTATATATATTTTCTAAAGCTTTTTGGTTATGGTTCTGAAGTGCTCTTCGGAGAGTCTCCAGGATTGTTGTGTACAGCGCAGTATTGTTTTTTGTTTTGTTTTTCGTGTTGTAGGTTTGGACCCAGAGAAGCAAGGATGCTTTCAGGGTTCACTGGCTTTACCCAACATGGAGTGATGGAGAGTCTGGGAGGGATGTCAACTGACCACTTAGACTACAGTGTGAGTATTACTTGAGATTCTTGAGGGATTAACAACTGTGTTTTGAAACGGGGTTGTATTTTCGTAGTGTATCGGGTAAACAGCACCTGGTGCTCTTTCATTTTTGGTAGAAGGTAAACTCCTTAGTTTTGCCAAGGACATGTGCAACCTGTAAAAGTTGAAATTATTTTCATATATTAATGGATAGGAGAGATTGAAAGCGTGTATCTTAGAGCGTCTTGCCGAAGTTGATTATTAATGGATAGCACATCCCATTTTGAAGACTTCTCCCCACTTTCAAAGTAAATAAACTACAGAAATTAAATGGGTAGCTGAATGTAAATAAACAATAAGTAAATGGTAGTTGCACTGGTGATGTATGCCTGAATAGCAATTGAATAGAGAGGATCAGAGGACCCGCAACTAGCTGTTATCGGAAAGTAAACAATTGTTAGTAACTGGAAGACATTAACGGATAAATCCTAAACTACTGAACAAGAGAGTTAGTGCAGTTCATAGATGTTAATAGGGTTAGTAACTTAGTAATTGCACCAAGACTAAGAGATCTTGTATTTTGCAGATATAAAGAAAGAAAATACAAAAATAAAAACAATGTCTGCAAGATCTTCAAGTTATTGCAGTTATTTGATGATGCTAGTAAAGTTAATAAACAAGAAAACTATGAAAAGAAAACACACTCGCACACACACAAAGGCACATAAGAAATTTACGGTGGTTTGACTAACCCTGCCTATCCTATACCTCAAACTGCCACCAAAGATTTGCAGTAACTAGTTGGACTTCTCCAACAAAGCCTTTACAATCGGCAAGACATCAAGGGTGAGAGTAGGACCTAAACTAGTGGGAATTCATGGATGCCAAGAAGACAATTTGCTGTTTCTAAAAAGCAACTATATACACTATGTATAAGGAATGAACAGTTTTTCTCAACCTTGATTCACTCGCTTGCTTCTTATTTTTGAATCAAGCAGAACTTCTCTATATAAAGAGGATTTGAGAACAAATGATTATTTTCTAGCTGTTTGAGGGATTTTTCCCTTCTTGTAAATGATTCAAAATTCTTTTGACATGTTAGAAGGCTTTCCATGGACATAAATAGTCATCCGAGACTTCAAATAGTCACATTTTTTTGAAGTAATCAATTGTCAAAATTGTTAGGTGGCTACTTTATGGAGGGAAGATTTTTTTTTTTTTCTTTCTTAGTCGACTAGTTCCTCCATATCACTTAATTGATATCATTTTGAACTTAGTCTGTCTAGATTAGTCAACTATGCTTTTTTGGGTAATTGACTTGTCCTCTCAGTTAGGGTATATTTAAAACTTGACTATTATAGTTAGTTGACTCTTTGACTACCATAGTTAGTTGACTCTCCTATTTCGGGTAGTCGACTATGTCTCACCCACTAAACTTGCCCCAATTGTCACAGTAAGTTAACCATATATTTTTGAATAGTCGACTACTCTATGAAGCCTTGGCAGTCTAGCCTAACAAACAACTTGACACTTAGCTTTCAAAATGTATTTTTCTGATTATAATCATTTGTTTACATTCAAAAAAGAGCCTTAGAACCAAACCTATTCTACCCATTGGTCTCGAAGGTTATTTGTATTGAATTCAATCTTGTTGAGCATCTAGAGAGTGTGTCATGCAAATGATTTCATCAAGATTCTAAAATATTGTCACAATTTGAGCACAACTTGATAAAGTCTTTTCCTCAAAGAGATGTTGAGCACAACTAAAAGATCATTTTAAGTTCTTCAATAATCTTGATATGTTTGAATTGCTAAAGAGATGTAGTGATGGTGTAGAGATCATGAACCCCAAGCAGCCAACCTAGAAAAGCTTCAATTTTTTGGATAAATTACAGATAGATATCATGTATTTTAGGGATAGTAACAGATAGGTACCTCAAACTTTCGAATGCAACACTTAGGTACCCTGAACTTTCGGAAATAAACACCTGGTCTATTTCCGTTAACTTACGTTACCGATTTTTGTAAAATTAACGAAATGCTTATATATACTTTTTTAATTATTAAAATCATAAAATTTAAAAAGACTTGCCATCATCGGCTCTTCTGACAAGCTCTGTTTGATTTTCCCTTTTTATTTTTTTTTTCACCAGCAGGCAAGGAAGGTACCCAACCATTCTGTATTTCTATATTTCTCATGGTCATGGCGAAGCGAAAGCGATGCGATGTATTTTCGTATTATTCCTTCATGTCTTTAGAGTTCGTATCCGTGGTTATCATTCCCTAGTGATGTCGTCGACCAGTGAAGGTGAAAAGCTGCGACAGTGGCGGTGGAGCAACCGCCGACCGAGTCTCCAGTGGCGGAGAAGCCTACCCAGCCCGATAAGCCTGTGAAGGCCCCCAAGGAAAAGAAGCCGAAGGCGGCCAAGGCTTCTCATCCCTCTCATCCTCCTTATTTCCAGATGATCAAGGAAGCTTTGTTGGCTCTGCACGAGAAAAGCACAAGGCTGAAAAACTGTGTGGAGGAAAAGCACAAGGCTGTTCTTTCAGCAAATTTTAGGAAAATATTGGCCCTCCAGTTGAAAAACTGTGTGGCTAAGGGCAAATTGATCAAAATTAAAGCTTCTTTCAAGTTGTCTGAGTCGGGTAAAAAGGAGAAGGTTGTGAAGGGCGCTAAGGTTGCTACAGAGAAGAAACTCAAAGCCGCTTCTGCCGCTCAAAGGCAAAACCCGTAAAGAAATCTGATACTACTCCAAAAAGGCCGCCAAGCCCGCGAAGAAGGTTGGTGTCAAGAAGGCAAAGAAGGCAACTTCGGCGAAGCTGAAGCAGCCCAAATCAATCATGTCCCTGGCTGAGAAGAAAGCTAGGAAGGCCACCGCCTGATTGAACAAAATCTCTTTTCTGGGCTTAGCAGTTGGTTCAGTTTGTTGCAAAATTTTGAACAAAAAAGTATGTATTCTACAAATTTAGATTGTAGAATTTCTCGGTGTCCAGGGGACCAGGCTCCCAGTTTCCATTAGAGTAGTTCAGTTGGTACGTCTTGATGGCCGACTCCAAGTGATGGTCAAAATCGCCATCGAGAGAGCAAGAAGGGGTTTTATACACAAGGGCAAATCGGTCCAAAAATAAACTAGAAAGCTAGTTTTGCCATTATCAAATGTTTAACGGACGGAATACTAACGAGTGGACCAGGTGTCTATCTCTGAAAGTTCAGTTGCATTCCAAAATTCGAGATACCTATCAATTACTACCCCAAAGTATAGGTCTGTAATTTACCTTTTTTTTTTTTTTAATCTTTGTAACATTTTTGCTTTAATACATTTTTGGTACAAAGAAGCTTATTAAATATTGCAGCATATTGTACCATTGCTTGCATAACTAGAAATTATATAGGCCAAATATTGGATTTCAGAGCATACAAGATTGATGAAACCACTATCAATGTGTCCCAAGCATGAGCGGCATGGGAAGCCCACAGTGTGGCCCTTTCAAACTGTTATTGATTGTCTAAAGAACTATGTCGATCCCTTGTGGAGAGTGAAATCGATCATTGAGGATGGCAAGTCTTTGCTTGAGAGGTTAGAAGGTAAAGTGGAGTATCATCACGCCTATAGAGAAGGCAACATTGCTCCGGATTGGTTAGCTAACTTCATGCACTCCAAAGGTGCAACTGGTTCCTACATTCTTAAACCCTTAGGCTGTGGTAGGAAACAATGCAAATATACAGAGTGTAAAATGGTTTATATAAATTGCAAAATTGGGTTAGTTTTGCACTTACAAATTTACCTTCTTACAAAACAGACTTTTAGCTATAATGAATGCAAACATGAATTCCAATAAAGCATATGTTTTTTTTTTTTTATCAAAAGTCCACTTAAATGCAAATTTACTTCTTTTTATTGATGTACTTTTACATCTTATTATCAATGTAAATATGCATTGGTCTGATATTTGTCAATGCATAAATGTAATGTTGCCAAATACAGGCAAAAGTGAACCAAAGTGCAAATTTACCCTGAACCGGGATTTACACTTCATTTGCATCATTTCCAAAAGCAGCCGCAAGTGTTATTAGTTATTTTGATTTTTGGGGACGTGTTAACCCCACCGTTCTGTATAGCCCCTTTTCTTGATTTATAAAAAAAAAAGAGAACAAACTAACGTTGGGTAAATCACTATAACCTTGAAAATTTTATTATTTAATTATTTTATCAATTAGAAGACAAAACAATCCAGTCTTTCAATTCAGCAACTCCAGCCGTTTGAGAGAGAGAGAGGGCAAATAATCTACAGATACACAACATATAAACATTTAAAAAGAAGAACCTGTTCAGATACATAACATATAAACATTTAAAAGGAGAAACCTGTTACATGTATTAGATTTTTTACTGTACACAAAACAAAAAGCACAGCCGCTACTCAAAATGCATTTATATGCTAAACCAGCTGCTATCCAATTAGACTTCCAAAATTGTGTCAAAAATGAGAAGGTCTTCCAGACCAATATTAGTACTCTATGAGTCTGAGAATTCTCTGACGACATCTATAATGGGAACTCGACATATGGGACATCTCCCTCTATTCCACTGTAGCTCCTGCGCACACATGAAACAGGTGCACATATGGCCACATCTGAAGAACGGAGTACGGTTATTAGTTAATATAATAAATATTCAAGCCAGACAGTTTCAATTTTGTTTGTCCAAAAGTGAACAAATACCTGTACAAAAGTGTGTCAACTTGCATCTCATAGCATATACAGCAACTGCCCTTTCTTATTGGTGCCCAATTTGACAGCTCCTTTGCTTCCCCTTCTTGAGATACAGTTTTATTGGGATCATCCAATTAATGAAAGAGAATTATATGGAAAAATAAGAAAGCAACATAGACATACTGTTTACTATTTTTTAACAGGGGTAGTTGGTCTAGAAGCAGTGATCAGGAAGCATCAGTTTTCAAATATTACAATTAGTTCACCAAATCCTACAACATACTCTGGAAAAGGCAACTGAAAAGAAACGAGTTCATCTATTTCATGGCATTATCAAGGTTCTAGATGAGACCTATGTTTAAGAGGGTATCCAATATTTTCCATGTACAAGCATGTGGCGAAAATCTAAAATTGATGGTGGGTAATTAGATGATTATTTGGATGCCCATGATCAATTCTGAAACTGAAATACCGAGTTTAAATTCAAATACTTTGTAGTTTTGGTTTGGCCAATTAGATTTATCTATTCTTTACTTACGAGAATGGTAAACAGCAGCTGAAAAGCCTGAATTGTCCTGCTTAATAGAGTGCTTCAACTTCAGTTGTATATTCATGCAGCTCTCTACAGCTTTTCGAAGCGCTGACATCTCTTCATGGAGCTGCTCTATGTACCCCCTCAAGTCATTTATGACTTCCATCTCCTGTAACAATGGGAGCAACAGCATCATGTGATTGACCTGCAAAGGGACACCATACAGAGGTTGTGACTAATGGACTGAAGGGAAACTCACTAGAGAATGATGACTAAAGGACGGTGAACTTTCTTGGGTCTCTTGGTAGTAAGATGTAGATGGCAGTGGGAATTGCAATGATGTAGATGCAACTCGATATGAATCAACACTTTCTTCATCATGATCTTGAAACCAGTTTCTAGATCTCAATTCAGAAGGTAGAGGCAGTTGATCAAAATCATAGCTCACTCCATGATATTGATGCTCGGAAGGGTTTTCTTCTTCATCTTCTTCCGTGCTCTGTTTTATGTGCCCTCTCAAGTCATTTATGATTTCCATATTCTGTAGCAATGGGAGAAACAACATCATGTGATTAACTTACAAAAGGGATTTAATACAGAGTCATGACTAACAGATTGAAAGAAACTAACCAGAAAATGATGATATATGGATGATGAGCTTTCTGAGCTCTCTTGGAAGTAAGATGGCAGCGGCAGTTGCAATGATGTAGATTCAATTTCATTAGAATCACAGCTTTCTTCATGACCTTGAAACCAGTTTTTCGATCTCAATGGTAGGTGCAGCATCGGGTATGCAGCATAATTAGAATCATAGCTCACTTCATGATATTGATCCGGGGTAGTGTTCATTTCTTCATCCTCTGTGTTTTGTTCTTGCATTTTTATTTGTGGGTAAGAGAGGATAACTTGGTCCATTGCAAGTTGGAAGTCGCTAGCAAGGACATTTTTTACACTTCTTCTGCATGGATAAAAAAAAAAAAAAAAACTCTTACTATAAAAATAAGACTAGGGCATTTCTTTTACCATGAAATGGCATTGCCATATAAGGAACAAATAGAAGACCAAGTCCAATTAATTTGAAATTCAAATACTATGTATGAATCCCTTTTTAGAGAAAACTCTTTCCCTTCAAAATCTATTATATCCTCAACTTGAGGACAACCAACCCAACTCTTAACATGGACTGATATTGATTAAAGTCTAGTTGGATTTCAAATTAGTTATTGGTATTCTGATGGCTCAGAAAATGTTATCACACAGTAGATAACCGGAAAAATATTGGACAAATTTGGGATAAAGAGAGATTTTATAATTTTTCATTGCTCAATAAAATGTAGATGTTTGTGTAATTGTTAATTATTCAAGTATAGAAAAGACATGAAGAGACAAGAAACGGACTTGGGGGTGAATTCGTAATGGCTGAACTTACTAGCTTGTTGCTTTGTCCCTGAATGGATTAGTTATGTAATAAAAGATCTACTTGTATATAACCAATAACCCAGCATTCCATTCAGTTCAACCACTACTACATCTGTCATTAAGTCACCTTGTAGATTACCTTTCAAGAGCTTCTTGAAAGGTAACTATAGAAGAACAGAGTCCAAGAAGGATTGCTTCAGAAGTGGAAGCAGAACCATGATTAGATGGTCATTTAGACCAAAGACAGAGATGTATTTCTTATCAAATAACAAGAGGAGTAAACCAAACGCAAAATAAGGTGGTCATCCAAGGCTAGGTTAACCATGATATCTCACAGAAACAAAGAAAGATTTGTACCTTATGGTTCTTCCATTCTCCAGTTGGTCCAGTTGAGATGCTGTTGAAGGTGGGGGATTTTGATCTTGAGCAGCAACTTCATGTAGGAACCTGAGCTTTATCAATGACTACACATGCATTGACCAACAAAATTAATATCCATTCAAGTGGAAGCGATAAATAAGCTCTTCTTGGAAAGATTGCAAAAATGTCTTGCTATATATTTTCAGCGGTTGAAAGAAAGGTTCAGTTTGGAAGGAGTACAAATACAAATATGTAGAGTGCAAATCCTTGTATTTTGTATTGTTTTATATGTATTTGCACTGTACATATTACTATTTGTACTCTTTCCAAACTGAGAGAAAGGAATTCACCTGAATGAGGTCTCGGTGTGGGAACCTTGATACCGCGCGACGCTCTACCAGTGTAGTTAGCTCTCTTTGCCTCTCACGCTCCATTTGCATGAGTAAATCGATTGTTGCTTTCCCCTCTCCAATGCAAAGACTTCTAACGCATGGGAGATTCCTCCATTCTCTTCTTGATGTGGAGTGGGTATGCTGTGGACTTTCCATGGAGGGAAACTGCTCCCGATCATTTTCATCACTCCAAGAAGTCACTGGACTCTGGATTTGACATCCAGAGCTTGGACTTCTTATGATTTCTGCAACTCTTGCCCTCTTGCTTTCATTTACTTCTGAAATCTGGTCCTGCGAAAATGAGTATTTCTCGCTTGGAGTTGTCTGATCATACTCTGAATCTGCAGAAGAATCTTCAGCAACCGCCAACATCTCGCATCTTTCATCATCAGAGTCACAAGCTTCAGAGTCAGATGAGGGTTCTGGAAATGAAGCATTTTCAATAGAAATGCTAACAGAACTGCACAAGCTGCCAGACGGGCTTCTCGACAGCATTGCTTCTGCTTCATATTGCTTCCACATCCGAACAAGGGAAGAAGCCTGCAGTTTTGGGATATCAACCGAACTTTCTGTTGGAGTTGGTGAAGCCCCTCTTAGAAACGCTGACTGCCTTGTTGACACAGGTTGTGACTTGGAGAGAGCCAAGAGTTCAGCATCCCGGTTCTGTCTCTCGATTGTGGTAATCACATCCCGGGCCTGAATAGAAGCCCACCGATCAAGTATCCGTGAGCGCCTGCGTCGAACGTCTGAAGATTCTACACTGACATCCTCATTTCTGTTCTGTGCAAACTTGTGACTATTCCTCTTATTTCCCCCCACCCAACACTCGCAATTGTCAATGAGATATTGAGATTTCTTACTGGAAGCAGCATTAGAATTTGTTGGGCTAGGGAGGGAAACACAGGGGTGGACTTCTCTCAACTTCTCTTTGAGGTTCTTGTGAAAAGATGCCCGAAATATGGAGTTGCCTTCTCTTTCTTTTTCCCAGCATTTCTGGTTGTGATTCCTCAGAAGACAGTCAAAAGGCGAAGCAATTTCGATTTGAGAAGAAGCCATTTGGATTCAACCTATTGGTATTCTCTTCGACTCTTCCTCAAATCATTCTTTTCTGGAACCAGTCACCCATTTGAAGCAAACGGGCGGGGAGAGACGAACAACCAGAAAGGCCCACAGCACGTCAGCCCCCACCATAGTCCGTGCCTACCCTTCGCCTTAAAAATCCACTTAGAAAACAATACGAGCGAAGAAGAATAAACTAACCACGCAAAAACAAAGGAATTAGTTTCAGGAAGTTAAAGCATAAACCACACATTTTAACTTTACCCATTTTAGAACTCCATGAAACCAGAGAACGAGAGATGGAGAGAGATTTCTGACAAAAAGCAATGGATATACGATGCAACGTTTTGGGAACTCACTTACAAAACAGCAATCAGCGAGGATAGAAAATAGAAAACAAGAACGCTGATTTCTGGGAAGTTGTGGCTAGAACTGTGCAACTTGTCTTTAATTGGAGCGCCATCACCCGAAGTATAATACCATAGCTACAGATCTACTTGAACATAGAGTTACGAGAGGAAGAGACGTTGGCTTTTTTAACTCATAAACCTTCCCTCTATTTTCTCACAGTTGTAGTTCAGTTCAGAGCCGTTGGCCGGACCGAAAATCCCGCGGCAATAAATCAGTCTTTCATCCAGTGAAGATAAGCGGGATTGATTTGCCAACGGTGGTTAGATGATTAGAGTAATGCAGCGAGTGCAGTATTTAGTATTATTTACTTGACATTCAATAGATGATTCGTTGTCAAAAATAAAAATAAAAAATGGTAAATTGCTGAAATCTCCCCCAAGTTCTTGACCTTGCTGAAACCTCTCTTTGGTAATTGTAACCACCTCCTTTGAACTTTCTAACATAGTTGTAAGTGAATTCTTTTGTTTTTTGAGAAATAAAAAACTATATTAGCAAAAAGAGATAGAAATACGGTCCTCAACCATGGGTATCCCATAAAGATAATTACAACTAACAAAAAAAGAAGAAGAAGAATGAGTTTTAGCTATTTGGTATACCGCATGGGCTGTTGTGTTATATACAAAAACTTCACCAAGTTTAGGCTCCTTAATAACATTACTGAATTCAAAAACAGCCAGTGACACGACCAAGGGCATTCCTTTCAATCATTTAAGGAGCATATCAGTAACTGAGAATCAGCACCTATACAGACTTCTCTAAATTCTCGAACTTTGAAGTTCTTTTAAAGCCTGCAACACAGCAAATAGCTCTGCCTGAAGAACTGAATTAACTGTAGAAGTATGACCTCCTATGACTTTTAAACAGGATAAATTCTTTGAGACTAATGATTCCAAATGTATACAAGGAGCTCGAAATCCTTCCTGCATCTGTAAATATGAGGTACTCAGTTTGATGAGACAAACAGAGGGTTAAACGATTACTTACAGGAGGATTTAAAGCAGGGGAATCATTATTCGAATTTAAAGAAAGACCAAATAGATTATTCACAGATTTAGACACTGCTGCAGGGGCAATGAAATTATTCTGAAAAAGTTGATCATTTTTAGCATGCCAAATAAAATACCAAGCAATAGCTAACCAGCTGAGAATATGCAGGAACAGACTATGGTCATTGATTGGATTGTGCATCCTTTTAATATCCGAAACCAGAGAATTTTGAAACAAGTTATGGATATGGAGATTCCAAGGATTTGAGAACAAGACTGCTTGTAAAAATTGGCAATTGATAAATAAGTGGGATAAAGATTCCACCTCGACTTTGCAAAGAAGACAATTTTTGGTCATCTTCCAATTTTAACTGGGATGAAGTTATTTAAGATGCGCCAAATAAATAATTGGAAACGAGGGGGCAAAGATAATGTCCACACTTTTCCTAGACAGAATTTCAGATCTGGATTGATATTTGGCAAAGAAATTTGCAACTCTTTTTTATAATTTGCTTTGACTGAATACTTACCAGAACTGTGATGAACCCAAATCCAAGTGACAGTATTGAGGGAAGGGTAGATAGGGGTTCGAAGGATTCTATTGGCTTCAGACGAGGAAAAGGAGGCCTGAAGAACTTTGTGAGTTCCAGTACCCTTCTTGTATAAGATCTACAATAGAAGCATTATTGAGATGGCGGGGTAAAGGCTGAGAGGTCCACATGAACTGACCCTCTGATTGGATCCAGAGACTCTGAGAAAGAGGGAAAGAAGAATTTTCATTTACCAGATGTCCACATTCAAAGGCTAATTCAATTAAATAGGGCCCAATAGCAGGAACCTGAAGCAGGGATGGAGTGGGGAAAAGTAACATTATTTTTAAGATACTTTGCTTTCCAACAAAGTGCCCATAAACTGTCTTTTTCATTTAGAAATCTCCAAGCTACTTTTTTCAGAAGACTTTGATTCACCAATTTAAGTCTCTTAAAACCCAAGCCTCCATGAGATTAAGGAAGGGAGAGGGTATTCCAAGAGCACCATCTAAGAGGGTGCTTGCTTTTATTTGAGACACCCCAGCAGAAATTATGAATGGTTTTTTCAATGCTAACAATAGATTTATGGGGAAACTTGATTAGTGACATTGCGTGAAGAGGAACTGATTGAATAAGGACATCCTTCTCCGCTTGACTGATAACAATAGCTTTTCTTTGTTAGAATCCTCTAAAAAAGGTATGAAAATGTCCAAAATACTAATGTAGTTACTTTACTAAAATGTTTATTTTCTAAATTCAAGGGACAAGTGTGAATCGTTAATTTTTTTTGAAGATTTTTCAAAATTTGAAAAAATAGGTAAGTTTTTTCAAATTTTTATAATACTTTGTGATTTCTTTTTGTTTATTGAATGTTTAAATTTATGTAGATCTACATTTCTTACATTCAAAATCACAATTTTTTTTTCGTGTTATCATTAGATTTATGGAAATTTCATGAAGATATTTGGGGAAATATAAATTAACAAAAAAAATGAAAAATGTAATTTTTCTCTGCCTATACAGACTAAATATGTTTTAGATCTATGGATTTATCTATCATATCCATAGAGAAATTGAAATTTCTTCTTTAATAACTATCATTTGAATATATTATATAATGTTTATTTACTTTTTTATAATTTTTGAAAATAAATAATAAATAATTATTAATTATATTTTCACTTAGAAGTTGTGCCAATGCATGTTTTATAGTTGGCTATGAGAGTTGTTTTTTTCCATCCCATAAAACATTAAAACTTAAGAATTATAATTTATAAATTATAGTTAAGCATATGATTTTTAATGAAATTATAATTAACTACAAAATATTTCTTCATAAAACCACTAAAATATATTAATTTAATGTAAGCACACCTAATTGAGGTCTTATATTTAGTGTTGTTGATGTAGTTTTATGATTTATTAAAGTATTTATAATGTTTTCAAGGGTATCTATGCATATCTTAGTTTTTTTCCGATACGCATGCATATTCAAGGCGTATCCTGATACGTCTCATAAAATTGCCTTTCCAATACACTTTATGTTTCTGATACTTTGAACCTTGGTCATACTACCAACAACTAAGTACACACCTTATGGAGAGAATGGAGAAAGATAGAGAGAAAAATGGGTGAAGGGAAGATTGCTTAACCAATTGATCGTTTTGATTTTGTACTAGGTATGCAAGCCTTTAAAGCAAGGTGGCCTTGGGCTGAGAAAGTTGGTGGATCCGAATACAATCTTTAGATTAAAATCTCTTTGGAGAACCTTATCTGAGAAGGGTCTGTGGCATTTGGCAAGATTAATTATTTCACAGACTGTTTCCTTCATAATAAGCATTACTTATATATGGATAGCTCTAAAGGGTCCTCTACCCGGAAATCCAATAGTAAGCTTTTGGATCTATTAATTGAAAATTCTATTTAGCACATTAAGGTAGGAGAGGTGTCGTTCTGGCTGGATAAATGATGTGATGGAGGGCCTCTCATATACTATTCTATTGAGGAGATTGATCCTACTATACTATTACAGTTGAAAAGGTTGATCACTTTTGCTAGTATCATTCTTTGTAATGGAAAGGACAGCTGGATTTGGAGGCCTACTAACTTGGGTGCTTCTTAAGTAAATCAGCTATGAATATGATTAGTGGCATTGGCAATATGGTCCCTTAGATCAAGCTTATATAGAATATGCAAACCCCAACCAAGATTGTTCTATATAAATGGAGAATCCTTCAGGGAGATATTTCCACTTATACTAGTGTTCAAAATCTTGGTATCTCTCTTGCATTAGCATTAAGGGTGTTCATGGTCCGGTTCGGTGTGGTTTGGAGAAGATCTTAGACCATATCAGTAAATTATGGTTTGAGAAATTTTTAAATCAAATCAAACCATTTTGGTATGGAAACCAAATCAAACCAAACCATTTTATTAGGGTTTAGTGCGGTTTTTAATACGGTTTGGGGACTTTGGACCATTTTATAGTTATTTTGGGTTTAATCCAACTAGAAAACCCAAATAGTTCCCCTAAAAATTAAAACTTAAAACTTTAATTTCTTTTATTTATTATTTTATTATAAAATAAAGAGTTCATTATATATATATATATATATATATATGTGTGTGTATGTATATATGTATATAAAATTTTGGTTTACGGTTTACAATTTGGTTCGGTTTATAAAATTCAATAAACCAAACCGAAATCGTAAACTATAATTTAGAAATATTTCAAACCAAACCAAATTATTTATGAGTATAAACTGAACCAAACCACAGATTTGATTTGGCTTAGTTGAGTTTTGCGGTTTGAACCATATAATGAACACCCCTAATTAGCATGCGTTTGTTGCAACTCCAATTCAGTTGAAAGCACAAATCACCTCCTAGGAGATGGAGTGATGGATAGGTAGGTTTGGAAGTACATCCCACATATTCTTGATGTTCTTATAATATACACCATTCAGTTAGATCCAAAATTCTACTGTGGTTCACTTATGCCAGCTCTAATTCCCAACTACACCAAATAATTCGTCTTAACCCATGTTGATTAGTCGGGAACTTTGGAAAGAAATATGTAGGAGGCATATGGAGGGAAGCTTTCCTCTTGGAGAGATGTGCTACATATTAGAGTCCTTCAACCCTAACCTCGAAAATGTATATTGGTCATGTGGACTCCTCCTAAAACCAGTTCGGCAAATTATAGGGAAAATGCACCCTCCTTGGCAAGTGCTTTATTTGGTGAATGATATTGTTTGTTTCAATTTTGGGGTTTAAAAAAAGTATTGGCGAAATAGGATTATAGTTGGAATAAGACATGGATGATGTTGGTGATGGTGAACCCCTTTTTCAAATACTTTACCAAATTGGAAAACTTCTCAAACCAAGAGAATCCTATGACTAAGACTCAACTCAACACATTGACTTGACTTGATTTGGCCTTCATTAACTTGCTTACTTCTTGATCTTTTTATCTAATTGATTCTTGATTCCTTTAATCTCTTGCAGTAATAAGCAAATTGATCAATACATGTAGGTTGTTGCAACACTTGAGGTCATGGTTAGAGGATTCATAGCTTTAGTTATATTGCTATATTAAAACCTATTCTAACAGGTTGTTAATGTGTTGCTAAGAATTAGTTGTGTAACCAAAGGAACAACTGATCTTTTTTGTCTTTGACTCAACAAACAAGCTCTTGTTTTTATTATGCCCAATCTAGTCTCTCCTTAGGTCTATAAGATTTTCTAGTCAAACTAGCAAATTATTATCTAGTTATTCTTCATCAGTTGAGGGAACATAAAGCTTTAATGCTGGAGGGGGCTAGCAACATTCCCTCCACCACTGGTTAGGGTTGCAAGTCAGACCGGGTTAGGTCGGGTTGAGGCCAATCATAAGTTCTAAACCCCCAACCCGACCTTCAACCCGATCTACCCAACCCTAACTAAATTCCTTCAACCCTAACCCAACCTAATCCAAAGTTGACTTTGGGTTGGGCTGAGCTCGGGTTGGGCCCAACCCTACCTTCTTCCCATCCCTTAAAATCTCATAAAACTATTTATTATCAAATCTTAACTCACTTTCACTATATATTAAACCTATGTTTTATTAGTATTTGTTTGCTGATGTTTTTATTGGTTCCTTAAGTACAAAAAAAAAAAAAAAAAACAAGTGTTGAAATGACTATAGTTTACTATGAGTTATGACTTATGATAGATCTTTTATAGGCGCCAAACATTAGAGAGGAGATGAATAAAATATTCAAAAAACATAAAATATGTTATTAAGGTTTTAGTCTTTTCATTTAGGATTAAGTGAAGTGATTATCTTAAAAGAAGGGCATGATAGTATGTAGTGAGGGCTATGCAACTATCGTATATCTAAAAAATCAACATATGATATATAATACATATAACATATATTTATACATGACATATACTATAGAGTCGGGTTTGGGCTGGGCCGATTTGCCCAAGGGGTCAACCCTAACCAAACCCAAAATAAAGTTGAGTTCATGAATTTCAACCATAACCCTAACCCGAACATCAATCTGATCCAACCAATCCGAATTTTCGGGTTGGGTTAGGATTGGGTTCAGACCAACCCGGCCCAAGTTGCAACCTTACCACCGGTAGTGAATGTGATTTATCTTGTTGGGGAGTTGCTCTCCTAGCAACATTGTTCTCCCAAGATAGATATTGAAGCTGAAGTTTTCTAATGTAAGTCAATAGGACAAGGATGATCTATGAGCTCTGATATCAGGATCATAACTTCATGAATGACGAGGAGTGGTGTGGATTAAGATAATAGAGGTGTGGACAGGGAATTTGAGTAGATAATCGAAGCAAGGTGCTCAAGGGTGAAAGAATCAAAAGAATAAGTCCAGTCCCTCTATAAGAGCCTTAGTTCTTTATTTTTCGGAGAAGGTCATCATACAACGTGCATGGCTTGAACTTGAACCATTCCAAAATCTTCATTGCTCTAATGAACAAGTGGAGGGGTGATCATTCTTGGCCTAGGCCCG